ATTGATAGCGCGCCAAGTAACGCGGTAGCCAGCGCTCCCGGCCTCCTGTTTCGAGGAGTGGCTTGCATCGCGCGAGCCGCGACACTGCACAACATAGAGAAAATGTGCTGTCTCACTGCCTTTTTATCTCATACTAGCTGGCTTGCCCGGCTCCGCCGGGCCTGCCAGCTAGACCCGTGTACGTATGTTCCAAATAGAAAATTCCATTTCTGAACCGATCCGGACCAAACTTTGCACACATACACTTCGGGCCCCGGCGGGTGTCACAGTCCACTTTTCGTTATCGATCGATGTCGATTATACCGATTTTTATCGATCTTTTTTGCAGAGTTCACCTACAGGGCTAGGAGTTGGCACAGGGGGGAAGTGAGCATGGGGATTCCGAACACAATATTAGTTTTCAGAATTATCGATTACTTTTATTGATTTTATCGATTTTTTTGTAAATTTTGACCTGCGGGGCTGGGAGTTTGCACAGGGGGGTAATCGAGCATGCTGATTACGAACACAATATTAGTTTTCAGGATCGTCCATTACTTTTATCGATTTTATCGATTTTTTTTGTAAAGTTTGACCTGCGGGGCTGGGAGTTTGCACAGGGGAGTAATCGAGCATGCAGATTACGAATACAATATTAGTTTTCAAGATCGTCCATTACTTTTATCGATTTTATCGATTTTTTGAAAATTTGAGCTAGGGGGCTGGAATTTGGCACAGGGGTGTAATCGAGCATGCTGATCACCCCCCTTGGGGATGATCAGCATGCTCGATTACCCCCCTGCGCCAACTCCCAGCCCCCTAGCTCAAACTTTGCAAAAAAATCGATAAAATCGATAAAAGTAACCGATAATCCCGAAAACCAATATTGTATTCGGAATCCCCATGCTCGACTACCCCCCTGTGCGAACTCTCAGCCCCGTAGCTCAAACTTTGCAAAAAAATCGATAAAATCGATAAAAGTAATCGATAATCCTGAAAACCAATATTGTATTCGGAATCCCCATGCTCGATTACCCCCCTGTGCCAACTCCCACCCCCGTAGCTCAAACTTTGCAAAAAAATCGATAAAATCGATAAAAGTAATCGATAATCCTGAAAACCAATATTGTATTCGGAATCCCCATGCTCGATTACCCCCCTGTGCCAACTCCCAGCCCCGTAGGTGAACTCAGCAAAAAAATCGATAAAAATCGATAAAATCGATATCGATCGATGACGAAAAGTAGCCTATGACACTCGCCGGGGCCCAAAGTGTATGTGTGCCAAGTTTGGTCCCGATCGGTTCAGAAATGGAATTTTCTATTCGGAACATACGTACATACAGACATACAGACAGACATACAGACAGACATACAGACATACAAACAGACATTCAGCTTTATATATAAGATTTACCTTTTATTCCATATTTGCAATAGATGTACGATTCTATCAAACTTGGGTCTCATCGTTAGAATTTTCTCGAAGCTCCCCACTTCACGAAAGCGGGGTGGGTGTGTGATCTAGTGATTTACAAATTTTATTCATGCGGTTATACACTTCTTGGAAGGGAGGCCCAAAATTAGCCGATTCCATTGATTTACTCGATTCTTTTTTTTTCTCTTCGAAGTTAGAATCTGTCTGTCGAGCATGTTTTTTGTATGTAATCAAGAGTATGACATTCTCACAAACGTCATCAAGTTTTCATCGGAAAAGTGAATTCTATGGAATTCTACGTAGCATAACTTTATTTCGTTATAAGACACTAAAAAAGCAATATGGATATCATACCTGCCTGTCCTCTAACTGTGTAACTTATTTGAACCTATCAAGAAAAGGAAAAACTCCCAAAGGAAACTAAAGAACGGCCAAGTCGTGAGTGTGCTAAGTGACCTTTTGGTTTTGGTTTTTGGTTTCTTGACCATCAATTTTGAATATTATGTACTGCGTTTTTACCAAACATTGCTTTGTGCCAAACTTTTGATCTCTCCGTTCTTAGTCTTTGAGACTAGAGATTCAAGTGCACAGTAGTTTATCATTTCTCTTGCGGCAAAGAGTTCCGCACATCAATTTTCTAGGGCATGCAATTTTCTATACCTAGCCATTTGGTACTTTGGCAATTACGGCTCTGCGCTTGCTTTAGTTGAAAGTAGCTTCATGTCTACTACCCGTTCTCATCTTCTTCCGCAAAAAAGCAGATTCTCACGTCTCATGACTGTAGCTCCTCTAATGTGTATATTTTCGTCATATTAAAATGCTCAACATTTCTTCCATACGTTTGAGGCGCATTACAATAATCAAAATTAGACATACAATTAGGACATAACATCACTAGAAGGAAATCGGAATTTTGAAGCATTTTTAAAACTTTTGCAAGCCTATAACCTAGAAAATATTTTGAAAGGTTAATCAGAACTTATGGGTTTTTTTTTGAAAAATACTTTGATACATATGTAAAACAATCCACTAATCACTTGCTTTCGTGACCCAATCCGTTCCTCGCCCCGACACTGCCTAGAATTTTCAGGTTTATCACAGTACTTTTGCAACGAGGCGCTTGTGTTTTCCAATATGAGTTAGACTACCGTAATACGTAGGGATACTGTATGCGTACGGTAGCAGTCCAAGCCACTTGCAACAATGTGTACAACTTTCAAAGACTAACTTCTCAGATAATCGCAAAATATCTTCGGAAAAAACTAGAGTTCTAAAACTTCCGGGGCAATGGCGCCATCCTCCTCTATTTATATAATTTATTAAATTGGGAAATTCAACGCCAGTGATGCGACGATAAATGATACGGGTCTTTCCATCCTTGCCACTTGAGAATATGTCTTTTTTGTTGCAGAAGATAGGAGAGAAATTCTATATTTGGTGGGAACATTGATTCTTTATGGAAGAAAAAGTTTTCTCTTTAGAGTGTAGACTTTTAGATGGCATCTTTTTTGGTTTTACTGGCTAAGGGTGAGGAAAATGTTTTTTGTTTTGAGCGGTTCTTAGTTGTGACCTCTTCTTCTGTGAATTTGAAAGAACCTGATTTTCCACAATTTTTCCACAAGATTTCCACAAATTTCCGAATTTTCCACAATTTTTGTGCATGCATATGTATCAACTATTGTTTATTTACTGCGTTTTCTCATTGGATTTTTGGAGTTAATCATTCCAAACTGGACAGTGATGTTCAATCAAGCTAAAAAGAAGAAAGAAAAAAGATTTTACCCCAGTGACTCTCAACCGACACCGATTTTGCACCAAGCGCGTAATAAGTATTTTAATGTAAATAATTGAAGTATTTTGCAGCATAATACAAAATAATTTTTTGAGCTCGTGGCAGGCATGTCTCATCCTGAACCTCACCCTCGCATCTTGTCAATTTTTTTACCGATGCAGAAACCGACAGCTGGCTTGAAACTGCTTCCAGATGAATGCGGTCGTAAATTTTAGTGCCGTGGTGTAATTCCACCTGCAGATCTCGCTTTCTTTCCAGTCTCCCTCTTCGAATCATCTGCACAGAGCTGCTTACATTCACTCTAAGAAGTCTAGACATCATTAAAATCAAGCAAAATTTTTTTTTCAATTTTTCTCGGTTGTTTTCTTTTTCATATGTTGCGCGTAGGGACCTGAAAAATCAATTTTCTTGCCTCTGTGTTTCTAGGAACGAATCAAAGGTAGCACGAGTCATTGAAACTTTATCTCACCATTATTGACCGTGGGATTTTTTTTATCCTGAGAGTTCATAGAAGGTGACCCTCTAATTCAACTGGCTCGGCGGCTGGAAGGCGGGACTTTCTGACCTAATTGAGTCCGCTCGCGCCTGCGACGCCGTTTGCGTCTCTCCCGCACGCGTGCTCTCTGATCATTACCTAGCCTTAATTAGGTCACGAAGCCCCGCCTGCCACCAAGTTAGTTAGATCAAAGAGTATTTCGAGGAAAAAAATTGAGAAAATTTCTTCCCATATCAACAACTCCGGAATTCTCCTCTATTGTTGTATTCCTAAACCATTAATTGCTGGGACAAACGTAGTGTACTGCATCAGATTGACACGCTGTTTAATAAGCACATGTTGAAACAATATTTTCTCGAACTGCTATAATTTACAGACAATCCACTTTTAAATTCGACAAAAAATTATAAGTGTTTTCATAATTCGTTAAATAGTATGCGTAACCCTTCAAGACATTGATATGATAACTCGGTAACGTTGCATTTTTTGCAAAGTTTTATAAACAACTTAAATTGTAAGATTTTTGAGAGTCAGGGATTGAAATTTTTTCAAACAAATTTTAATCTTTACAGATATAAATACTGCTGAATATTGTTCTACAGCAATCGCAGTCCAGAATCCGTTCGGGGATGGGCGGGGGGTGGTAGGGGAGGGGGGAGGGGGAAGGTGCATAGAATTTTTTCGAACAAATGCGCATGGCGTTAGCTACGCACTTCGAGAAAATTCCAGAGATATGTACCTCTTGAAATTTTTATGGGTTCATAAGCGAATATAAATTTTTGTAAGGCTAATTTAAACTTCTAAAAAATCTAAAAAATTATTCTAGTCGTTTACGAGTATAAAGTTGCTTGCACATTTTTATAGAGTAAGTAAATTTCAAAAAATTCGCGGTTAAAAATTTTTTTACGAATCGTGACAGCCTTTGCTGCTTTGTTTTTGTGTTCTGTTTTATCTAAAGCCTTGCTTCCTGTTCATTTGCCTCCATTTATTTTCTGCTACATATCGTAATCCATCACATGTTCTCTCATAAATGCATTCCGTAATTACGTACATCGGGTGCTTATTGTCAAATATATATCAGAAACTGACATTGTGGCACGAATTCGACAACAACAAAATGTCGCAACCTTATGTTCCTAGAAGTAAGTAAATAAATTATGTTTCGGATTCAGCTATGAATTTTTCCAAACTTCCAAATATCCGAGAATATCTGGAGAAGTAGAAAGGCTGGAAGAGCTCAGTTTTTCTAGCAATAAGTGATTTTGAAAGAATCAAAAATTCATCTAAATTTTTCAGAAATTACGATGGGCACCGACTTGGATCCTTTCAACAAACCTGAGCATGTCCACACTTTGAAGGTATGTTCCATCAGTCAGTCAAATTTATTTTTTCGCTGCTAATTTGATTGCATTTAGATTTTTCCACACTTTTTTGCATTGTTATTCAGTTCGATTTTATCAAATTTTCCAAAAAATTTCTCGTTTCAGGGTCGTGAACTCTACTTCTTCGTGATTTTCTACGCTGTGGCCGTGATTTTGATACTGGCGGTGTTCGAATTCTTCATGCCGGTGCTCTTCAATCCAAACTATCCCGACATGAATTAGCAATGAACGATCGATTATCGATCGATTTGCTGTAATCACCAGAGTGCATTTAGGGCACATCTGAACTTCTCGATGCTCACTACATAACCTCTTCACACATCTAATTTTATTATATTTTTAAACGGGTACGGATTTGTGCAGTGCAGCATTATTATACAGCGGGTTGTGAATTATGTATGTAAGAAATTTCTCCAAATGTCTTTATTTTTATGTTGTGCATTATTACGTGATCTAGAAAAGCACATAATAAATTTTATTAATATGTTCCCACAGTTGTACAAATGTCTTTGCTTTTCAGACATATCTTTCCAAAAATTGCACAACTTTGTTGTAGTTTTCCTCTTTATCCAGTTTACGAATCAATCCCACAGCGTCTCGATGCGGTGCAATCTAAATTGCCACAGTGGTTATGGTAAAAGATCAAAACCTACAAACTTATCTTGTAAGCGAAGTTATCGTCATCGAAGAAAAGCTCGGCTTCGGACTTGACTTTTTCCAGTACACGAGGCCAAATGGGTCTGAAAGGTAGGTGCTACGGCTCTCCTTACCGATTCCATATTGTTCCATAAAAATTGCCCAGTTGTACTATTACTGCTTCAGAATATTATTGGAAAATTGGCTGTTATTCTCAAGAAAAGCTAAAAAGCTATTAGTTTTCCACTAACCCTTCCCTTCTTTGCATGTTACCTTATCTGTTTTGTAAACCCTGATCCATTGACCACCAAAGTGAAAGTTCAGGAGAAGAAAATGCGTAGAATGTGATTGCAAGAGGAAATCATCTCTTTTTTCTAGACTTTAAAATCGTAAAAGATTTCAATAGCTCAACGGTATATGCCATCAAATTTTACGCTGCTTATTGTTAGTGCTAATTAATTTCCATGTTTTTTGTTGTGTTTTGCTTCTTTATTGATCGTTGGGACATTTTTTTTCAAAACGCGCTGAAACCAAAGATTACGAGACTTAATGGATCTTTTCTTTCAATTTTAATTCTGAACTGGAAAAACATTTTTACAAAAGCCTTGAAATTTTGTGAGGTTTTGACGGATCTTTGATGAGTGTCATGGGACATAAAAGGCATTCCAGACTTCTAGATGCCTTTTTGTTGAAGCAATTCTCACTCATATTATAGAACTGTATCCTATAAAATAAAAAAATATAAAATAGGATACACTTCTATAATATGAGTGAGAATTGCTTCACAAAAAAACGCTTCAATTTGCTGTTTAGAAAAAGAGTAAAAGAAATATAGTTGATTTATGATAATGATAAACTCTTCCGGACAGAAATCTCTTGCAGAAAGTTTTGGTTATCAGATACAAAGTCTAAACGTACTTCTCATCGACATAACCGATCGGTCGAATCAATCTTGGTACACGGGAGTCGAATGTATTTGCTGTTTCTTGTTTTTCTTTCAAATGTTCCAGAAGTTCTTCTCGGGTAAGAGAAAAGACAGTTTGCACGAGCAATAGTAGTAGAATCAGCTTTTCCATTTGGATCTGTAAAAATAAAATAGCCACCGGAAAAAAATAGGGGAGCAAATGAGAAAGGAGACTATTGTTATAAATGATTTCGCTCAATGACAGGTTGCAAAGTTGCGAAAGTAGGTGAAATAAATCCGGAATTGGTGTTAAAGCGAGGATAACAACAGATAATGAGGTTTCGAGGTTAACCCGAGAGGTGGGCTCCGGCCTCGGAAGCGAAACATGGAAAATTTTATCATTACTTGGTAACAGCTGGTGGCTGATAGGTGATCTACCTAGTCACAAATTATTACATTGTTTCATTTAATCCTTCGAAAATTTTGCGGAATGTCCCTCAGTTGGATATTCTTACCTATGTTATTTAGCGAAGTAGCAAGTAGAGGTATAATTCTAAAATTGAGATGATTTTTCTTTTTTTTACACGATTATTTACTACTTAGCTGCCTTCCTTCGTGATCGTCCTCGTGGCCTTGGACTACTACAACTTCCTACTGGCATGACTGACGAACGTTCGGCTCCATTTTTCCCAAATTTATATATGGCCGGAGACAAGGTAGGTTCTCTTTCAGACAACGGTCCCAAAAGGACATTTTACATTTTAGGCAGGTGAAAAACCGGTGTCCGTGCCAGATGTGCATCTTCCTGGTCAAATGGCAGTTTTTACTGGACGGTAGGCATGCTTGGCTTGGGTTTTGCGTTTATTGTAAACGAAGTCGTAGACGATCCAGTTCGCTCATTATAGCTCAACGTCGCGCATTGTCGCTTGCATCGATTTATCGTCTAGTTTTAATTGCTACTCATTATAAACTATTGCTCAAAGGCGATGAATGACGCTTCCTCTTGGTTTAACACGTAGAGTGGCGACAGTGAGCGACAGTAGCGACAATCGGCGACAGGCGAGTGATGGCCGACATAAGCGACGCTAAACAGTCGGCATTTTTTCCCAATGGCAAATGCTATGCATGCTACCTAATCAAAGTGCACATTGTGCCAAAAGTCCCTTAGTGTCACTCTATTGCCCATGTCGCCCAGTGTCGCCAATGTCGCTTATTGTCGCTGACTGTCTTCAAATTTAGCTGTTGAACATTTTGACCATCGTGGTTGTTTCATCTTTTGCAACCAATAAATAAAAACATTTTGTAAGAAAGCGCCTCGTTAACTTGTTTTCTTTTGTTCCTCTCCCCCTTCTCCACCCCTTATTTCACCTACCTTTAATCCATCAGATCCGCATTCAACCCATTTACCCATGCTGTCGCAGCCACTTTCAATGAAGATTTGGTCGACTCGTGGGGTACTGGATATGCTGTCAATGTAAGTCGGACAACTGTAACAAAAATTGCAAGATAACTTCATGTTTTCAGGGTGTCAACAACTACAACTTGCAAGTGCGACGAAATTTTGACCAGTATGCCAACGCCCCATTCGACAGAAATGATGGTCAGTATCAACCATTTCTCGCCGCTGGTACCGTAGGAGGAGAGTACGATTTGAGCAAGATTAGAGAAGTTGCTGGTAAGTTTAGGGGAAAATGCGCATTTTTTTACTCAAAATTGAATTCTTAGGTCATCTCGATCTACCAGTGCTCGGGGTAAATGAGCTTTTTGATTTGGATGGACGACTTATGCTCAAAGGTAAGAGTTTGAGTCTTTCTGAGACATAAAGGGGGGGGGGGGCAAAGGGCGGCTTTCTGCACGATTGCCTTACTGTGGACTACAGTAAACGGGTTGCTGTGGGACTCGCGTGAACAGCGCAGGGTAGGCGGACGAGTTTGCCGGTACCCCTGCGTCTCTACTATCAATGGCAGAAAAATGATCATCTCCTAAGCGACTATGGACGATGGCAGAGACGCAGGCAGTAGCCATCTCTCCTTTGCCTACCCTGTTCCCTCATGCAGGTCCTAGAGCGAAGGCCTGCACTACCGTACTATGCTATAAAGGTCTTGCAATTTAGCCGCTCACCCAAACAACGATGTTTAGGTTTTGGAAATGGAATCCTCAACAGTGCGCTCGAGTTCCCCCTAACATATTCGGACCCGAACGAACGTGCACCCTACACCTTCAAATATTTGAACTTCATGGCAGATCGACACATGCAGTACGGACATGTGTTGCCAAACACAAATCTCTTCATTGTCGGAAAAGACAAAATTATGGATCGTTTGACGCAGAACAGGCTGAACCCTACTATGATTGGCTAGAAAATATGTTTTTGTGCATAAATTTATATTTTGTTACAATGTTACTTCGGAGACAAAGTATTTGATAATTTGCAAAATTGAAGGGCTTAGGTACCGTTGAAAATTTAAAAAATAGCATTGTAAACTCGTATAACGAATTTCGGCACTTTTGCGTTATCCGGACCCTTTTCTTCAAAAAGCTATCATAAAATACGTTCTTTAGTAAGGTTTTTCTTCTTCAATATGTATCTGATAGCCAACTAATTGCTCAACCCAACGAAACTAAGATCTTGGAAAAAAGTTGACTCTGAAAGAAGTTATGACAATTTGAACTCAAAAAATTCAAATCGGACAGAACTTATGCAACAACCTAATATAATTGTTTTCTACCAAAGCAAAACAATCCAGATCTTATAATAGAACATCCTGGTCGTTTTCACCAATGATCAAGCAATATCATTCTCTTCAAACTTTTCATCATGCGAATTTAGTCAGACGAGACTTTAAATGATGGCTTGAAATTCTTCGCTACTGCTTGTTTCGTCACTTAGATGATCGACCCTAGCCCACTTTCTCTATTCTGAGCAAGTCTAATCCGTTCATTAATAACATAATGACCTCATTATGATAACAGTGTTATTTTTGATACTGTTCAATCGAAAATGCCACTATTGAAAAAAAAAACAGAGTGAACTTACATGGCTAGGTAGGGTAACTCAAACTCTTGGTTAGGTTAGACCTGTTAAACCTGTAAATAACATGTCAGATTTTTTTTGACACGTGGGAGGAAAGTTGATACTCCTTTCTGTAAAATTGTAACCAAATATTTACGAGGGAAGACGCAATATCCTTATGTGAAAAAATGGGTCCGGATAAGGAAAAGTACCCAAATTTCTGTAAAAAAAAAATTAAAATTCAATTTATAAATTTGTGAAGGCATACCAGCAAAATAATTTCATATTTTCACAAGGGTACAAATTGCCAAGTAAGGCATAACGTGATAATCATCACCAAAATTATTAGGTTGTCGGATAATTTCTGTTACACTATTTTTCTAATTTTCTAGAAAATTCCACAAGCTTTCTGAAAACCCCAAATTTGCAGCACGCTTAGCACATAGCAGGGTCTACCCATTAGCATGATTAATGCGCAAATGTGACCCTGCCCATATGTTATGAACATGAGATCTTTCCAAAGAATCTGAGATTTTTAAGAATTAAAATAAGAAGTGTAACAGAAATTATTCGACAACCTAATAGATCCACGCTTGAAATGGTAGAAAACTCGTGTATAACTGCGTCAGGCTCACCAAGTGGTCCGCGCAAATTTTGATTTAAAGTAATAGGTTTCCACTCCAAAACAGCCAAAGAAGCTATCTTCACTGGCTTCATGTTCAGTTTTGAAAATAAAAATCCATGACGTATGATTTGAAATAATTTTTCTCGCTGAAAATACATATGTTCAAAAATTATTCGTTTTCTTCTACTTTTGATCATCTGAAGAGCTGGACAGTCTGATGACTAAGAAGAGGTGAATTTTCGAACTGTCACGCTACGCTTCTCTGCAAAAGTATCGTGGCCGTGCGAGAATTTTTTTGGGTGCGGGGAAGAAAGGAGGAGGAAGGGATTAAAGGGACGAGCCACTCCGACAGAATTTTCGAGAGTCTTCCAAAAATTTTCCTGACCTAAAATCCAAAATTTTTGAATGAGGGGACGTAGCGAGGAGTTTGAAAAAACAAGTGAATTAAGGTCCAGTATGATGTAAAACTACAGAAAAACTGAAAGAAAAAATACAATGTAAAACATTGATGTCGTTCACCAGAAAATGATTCTTATTCATTGATATAATTTTTCTTCGCATTTTTGTGTATAAGTTTAAGTAAATAAAAAATGGCGAATACTAAAAAATGATGAAGGTATATAAATAGAAAGCAGGGTTCGAAGGTGAAAAGCAATAAAACCGAGTGATGACGCCGTCCGGGCATTGTTCAGGCTTTGTATCTCTGAAAACTGGAATCCATGGATCATCTCTCGGGTGAAAAGCGGCGCTGAACCTTTTGCACTTTTCGGAATGAAGTGATCTCAGTTTTGGACTATCAGTAGGATGATAATCATACATATCGTCTTCCTGTTTGTGCTGAAATTCGATTTTTTGCGAGCTCGAGGTAATTTTAGATAATTTTTCCTTGCCTCTATTCACTTCCCCAATGTTTTTCTTTCTTTTAATTGGCTTTTTTGAGTTAATTTTGTTGTGTTTAGCTCCTTTCATCCGAGATCGCCCTAGAGGACTTGGTCTCTTACAATTACCTACTGGTATGACTGATGAACGTTCAGGCCCATTCTTTCCAAATTTGTACATTGCTGGAGATAAGGTCAGCATAAGCTCTTCCCAGACACGTTTACTGCATATGGTGACGGATCGAATCAAGCAAAAATGTCAAAACCTTGAGAAATTTCGTTACCGTTCTTATTCGCAGTCGCTCTGGTTAATCAACAAAAATTAACAGAACTTTCCAGGCGGGAGATAAACCTCAGTCTGTACCAGACGTGCATTTACCAGGACAAAAAGCCGATTTCAGTGGACGGTAAGCCTCGATTTTCATCGTAAAATTCCCACCCGCAAATTTACTTTATGAATATGGGCTCACTTTAAGAGTATGGGCTCTAAAACTGTGCAAGTGACTCGTTTTTACTCGTGAATAATCAAAATATTTTGAATTTTCAAAATTCAGATTAGCGTTGTGAGAAAAAGTTTCGGGTGTGGCTGCTGCCGTGCGACCGCCAAATTTTGGAGAAATTCGGCCCTCCCAGCTAAAAAAATTTGCTCTGGCCGCTGTATGGAATACTTGAACAGTTCCAAGATTTTTCATCCATTTCATGACTTATTTATGCGCTTTTTTCCGTACCAATTAATTTTCTTTTATGTGTTTTCCTTGCAGATCAGCTTTCAACCCTTTTACCCATGCTGTCGCTGCCGTATTCAATGAGGATCTTGTTGATTCCTGGGGTACAGGTTTCGCTGTTAATGTGAGTCTTAAGTGGAAATTTTACGGTACCCTGTAACCAGACATTCAGGGTGTAAATAATCATGATCTACAAGTGCGAAGAAACTTCGATCAATTCTCTGATATCGCATTCGATAGAAACGATGGACTACATCAGCCATTTCTTACCGCTTTCTCTGTCGGCTCAGAGTATGATTTTTCAAAAATCAAAGAAATTTCTGGTAAGTCAATCTTACGGGATAATCACTGCATTTCCAAACAATTTTTGTTTGGGTCACTTCGACTTGCCCATTCCGGGAGTCAATGAAATGTTCGATTTTGATGGAAGGTTGATGCTCAAAGGTTTGTGAATGACTATTTTTGGCAACTTTTTATTCTAAAAAGCATTTCTTTCGTCTTTGGAATTTTTGCAGTTTTTCTACATTACTCTAATGTTAACGATTAGTTTATTGCTAATTCCATATGTTTTGAATAATTTTAAATTCGGAGGTTTCTTATCGCAATGTATTAGGGTGTCCGATAATTTTTTACCGTTTTTACCCTAAACATCAGCATTTCTCGAGGACTGGGGCACCTTCAATGTTTAAAAATACATGGTCGTACTTCTGTGTGTATACGCTATATGATCATGTGCATGGGAGGATCTCAAGACGTCTAGAGGCGGAGTTTGCCATTTTGTCTCATTCATTTTTTTTCTTTATTTCTAGCTATAGAAAAAATACGGGAATAGCACAGTTGAATGTGTGTGTGTCAAGCATACGCTAGGACAAATGGGAAATCTTCAAGAAGTTTTTGGGGCGGAGATACGATTTTTGAAAGAAAATTTCGTTTTTGATTGCTATCAGATTTCAGCTCAAAACTTCCGGTGAAATGCGATTTGGGCGGATTCTTCATAGCCGTCTTGTAGAGCATGCTTTGCCCTGTCGAATGGTTACTCAAGGCACATCATTTGAAGGAAAAATACAAAGAGACGACGGTTGTAGTGAAAACGGGAAAAAATTATGGGACAACCTAATACATTCTCGTGTCGCCATAGCCACAACCGCGCCGCTGACGCTCGCATACCTATGAGTCGTCACCTTTGTCGCGATGCTAGCTTCGATTGAAAAACAAGAGAGGAACCTCTGCAGCTGCGTAGAAATTGTAGCACTATCGCAGAAATTAATTAAGTCGTGAAGCCACTGTAGATATATTAAATTATATTATAATATATATTATTATATCAAATATTATATATATTATTATATTAAATTATATTATATTAAAACAGGCCAACTTATGCGGACATACAGCACAGATCTCATATATTCACACGTTACATTTTATGCTATCTAGTTGTCGATGCTGGAAAGGGCAAGAGTGTAATACCCGCTATCTGTGTGCTACAACCTTACCACCTAAATCTTGCTCTACGAAACATGGCTCACAACCAATTTTAAGGTAACGGAAACGGTATCCTGAATAGTGCCATGGAGTTCCCGCTAACCCTATCGGATCCTAATGAAAGAGCCCCCTACACATTGAAGTATTTGAACTTCATGGCGGATCGACATATGCAATATGGTCATATAGTGCCAAATGTGAATCTGTTCCTGGTTGGAAAGGATAAGATTATGGATCGACTGATGCAAAATCGCCTCAATCCTACAATGATTGGTTAACGAAGTACAGGGTGGGGAAAAGTCCTTGAGATTTTTGATGTCACTGTATGTTCGGATTTCTTAAGTATCCTTATGTGCTAATTGTATGTGTTTGCTTCTTATACTGTTAAAGGCAGCGTCCAGGCAGATCTTGACCTTTGGGGATTTTACGTGGAAAGTAATTTTGGGGCCCCAGCTAAGGCACTGCCAAAGCGGCAGCGCAGGTGAATCACTAACGGCTGAGATATGCGCCTCCAAAGTGCCCCAGGATCGTGTTCGCATGGATTCATGGCAGTTTCGCGCAAGGTTCCACGCTTTGCGCCATGAATCCATGCGAAATACGATACCGGGGTCCAGTTCCGAGGGGAATATTTCAGCCGTTAGAGATCCATCTGAGCTGGTTGGGCAGTGGCTTAGTTAGGGCCCCAAAATTATTATCCACGTGAGATCCCCTTGTGTCCAGACTTGCCTGGACGCCGCCTTTAAGTACAATCCCTCCAAAAACTAATCTTTTATCTTCATTCCTATCGGAGATAGGCCTTCGGCTTCTGCCTTCATACATAGGTACTTCTCTCTCACGTCTGCTGTGACAGCTGTAAAATTTTTAGAGGTGGAAAGTTGTGTGAAAGTACGTGCAATATTGTTTTGCTAGTCATTAGATTACCTCTATGTATATTATCATCTTATATGCCATCTCGACATTTTTTATTGCAATAAATGCATTATCTGATATTTTAAAACAACACATCCTTACGATCATAGTCTTTTATATTTCCAGTCATTCATGTATTCATCCATGCTCAGTTCATTGACTTATCAATGTCCATGGCTGTTAACACACATACACAGATACGGTAAATTGCCAAAATCCCCCACCCACATGAGCAATCTTTGATTCAACTAGATTGGCGGCTGGAAGGCGGGGCTTTGTGACCTAATTATGGCCGCTCGCGCCCGTGACGCAGTCGGCGTCTCTCTTGCGCTCGTGCTTTGAAGCCCCGCCTTCCAGCCGCCAATCCAGTTGAATCAGAGGGTATGTCTGAGGCGATGTTGGGCATAATGTTCACAGTAGTTGATTCTGAATATAATCTAGATATACAGTCGGATAATTACCGTACCTCCCTCTACACTCAAACAAGTACTTGTTTTGTCTTAGGCACTAGCTGTATTGATCATGAGGCAAAATATGAAGGTAACAATAAGGCGAGAATATAAGTTGCTTTCTGATGACCCGAGCATTCAAGAAGTTTAAGAGATTGTTTGTGAAAATTTCTCAAAGATATCGGCTGGCCACCTCTATTTCATTGAGTCTTGTCCAATTTCCCTTTTCTGGAGAGTGCTGTGGACATCGAAATACTCTTTTCTTATGATGAGTCCTATAGTAAGCTTACAATAAGCAATTTATTGTTTAAATGTCAAAACTGATTATTTTTACACGTATCTTCCTTAATTGAAGGCAGCGAATTTACGTCTTCATTTTGCCTGGAAGTCTTCATAGACAAATCGAGAGGTCTGTCCGAATTTTCCTCGCCTAACGAAAGATTCCTCGCAACTGGAATAAGATACTGCCACTGGGATTGTGCCGGGCCATACTGTCCAATGTGGCCCACTCGATTGTCTTTACGCCATTTTGCACGACGATTTTGAAACCAAACCTGAAATTTGGGGTGGACAATAGTGTAAATAATGAAAGATGATTGTGATCCTACCTGAATTCTAGCTTCTGACAGAGATAATTTAGCGGCTAGCTCTTCTCGCGTGGAAACGTCAGGATATTGTGTAACAAGGAATGTACTTTCTAGGACGTGTAACTGAAATTTTTTTCATTTTAAAATTAGAAAATTTCTTCAATTCTTCTCCAAAAATTATGAGCGAGTTGCTCCTCTAAGTCCCTCTGGTGAGCAAAAATTATTCCGCTATTTCTGTAGGCAATTTGCAACAAACTTTCTCAGATATTTTCGTGGAATTTGCAAACTTTTACGAACTTATCATGAGTCGCATTACAGTATGCCTAATCTTTTTAAAAACAACTACATAACAAACCCTT